TTCATAAACATATCAGTGAATTAACTTCCTCGAATGAAAATCCTTGACAATCACAGTTGATTCTTCAGCAATACACTGAAGATTCACTGCTGCTGGCCTGTTCGGAAAGTGTGAACAAGAGTCACGCAAAAGCGTCGGCGCTAATTACTTCTGAAAAGTTTCTCCAGATTCTTCTAGTTAATTGCATAAAAATGTTAACGGATCGAAATGGCATGCCATCTCGCTTTGTTTACGAGCCCACACAAAAGCATTTCTGGTTAGAAACAATGTCGCTACTTCAGCTAAAAGCATCACAACAAATTTTTTCCAACAGTGCTTTTTTTTCTTCAGGCGCAATGAAAATATATTAGTACTAATGAGGACAGTTTCTGATTCTCTAAAATTATATTGTTCCCGTGCGTCTCTGGCGAGCCTTATTGCATATGAAAATGTTTCACATTTTTTCATCGGCACTAAAGATTTCATCTGGGATTGTGCGGGCTTGGGGTTTTTTCCTTTTCTTTACTAAAACTACTTTCCAAAACTGCATCACTACATACACTTTCATTTGTCTAAGTTTTGTGTTTTCGTTTTGAACAATTATTATTTTCATTGACATTCTTAATACTACTGCTATTACTCCTGCTATTACGAGTGCTATTCACTCCTACTTGTGAAAAATAGTGACCATCTGTCTTATGCTTTTACTTTCACCTTTTTAAAGTACTTATTTCTACAAGCACGAAATGGGATACCTCGAACAAGAATGTGCAAAATTTATCATTTTCATGGGCACCGGCTGCCGGCATGTGAATTCGAAGTAAACGTTTCCAAAAGTATTTTTCTTCTTAGAAAAAAAAAGATTATGTTGTCTGGCATTTCCTCTGCCAGTTTGTGATTGATCTTGTGGCCGAGCCTTCTGAACCCGACGCGCAACGGTACATGCGTGCAGAATGGAATACTTATCAATTTACTCCTGTCTTGAAGTATCAGAAAGAGGTGTCATATTTGCTTCTTACCATGTTTCCAATGCGTTAGCACCACCAGGAAGTGCAACAGTAGAAATGAACCTAAGCGTTTTTTCCCAACGGACGGCGGCGAGTTAGCTTGGAACAAGATTGCGGCAATAGGTAGAAGCACAACTTCCTTTCTGTACACAGGCCGCAAAGAAAGCGAGCGTGCGCCTCCAGACCGGCCGCACGTAGATATATTCGGGACAATAAAGATAAACAATTACTTAACTTAGATGAACAAACTGTGGTCTGAGAACTTTAATGCTACAAGTTTCACTGTCATCATTTCATTAAAAATGAATAAAAATCAAGGTCAAAATTTTAATGCTAAATTTCGTGCTTAAACAGTTGTCAGAATGCGACAGCTGAACTAGAATTTGGAGCAATTTTCAAAGGAGCAAAACGTTACTTTTGGAGCACTAAAACTCAAATTTGGAGCAGCTTGTAAGAGAAAAAAATATTCAATTTTTCACCACGAAAGACCGAATTTTGAGCAGCTTGAGAAAAAATGCTTAGATTTCAAAATATAAATATCTGCAAGCCATTTAACATTCCCTAAATCATATGATGCACAGTGAATATGAGCACTGCTATTTCAACAAAGAAGTATTTTCTTAATCACCCCACTCAGCAAACTATCATGAGGTCCATATTAGAAGTCACCAGGCCTGTCAAATTGTTTGAGAATTCAAATGTGGATTTCCCAAGATGGTGACCACGATATTCTTAAAACTGGAAGAAAAACTGATATTTCACACCTGCAGAGATGTCCCATTGTACTCCGAATAACTTTGCCAGTAACTTTTTTTACTCAAAAATATGTGGCATATACATACATCAGTCATTGCACAAACGGTGCAGTGTATAGAGACTACAACTATAAGCCCCTTCTAAATATTATAACGCTTTTCCGCAGGCCACCCATTTACTATGACAAAGGTGGCTTAATGGGTGTTTCTGCACAGGTTAGAACAAGACGAAGAAATTTTCAAACTACAACCCCCCCCCTCCCTTCATTTTTTTTTCATAAAGAAGTTAGGATTAGGGCACAACTTTTTAGCTTGCTTGCAAGGCGCGTTTGACCAGATAAAGTAATCTGGTCAAACCATTGCGAGACCAACCCACCAGTTGGCCTCGCAATGGCACCGGATATCTATCGCATGTGGTGTTGCTATGGCAACTGACGTCACGGCATGAACTAAAGCTGGTAGTGTACAAGCTCGATGTGCTGAGAGTTTTTACACTTCCAGCTTTAGTTCTTAATGGTTCTTAACATGCCATGGCAGCACTTGCTGACTAGAAATTTCATATTTCCAACGAAGTGTTGCTGGCTACGGCAACACATCTTTTGTGTTGTAGTTCGTCGTCCCGCCGGTAAATATATCTGCTGCGGTCAGCAGATCAACAGGCACGTGGTGTTGTAACTTCATCTGGTTGACAGAGTTTCGCGAGTGTCTTGAACTAATGAGCAGCTGTCTTACACTGCGGTTTATGGTTAGGGTCTGCCCGCATAGATTGATGATGCAAACTACAAGTGGCTATAGTGGTCTCCATTTCTCGCTCAAATTAGGGCAAACTAGAAAATTTTGAGGCTGGTCGGGCATTTTGGGGCAGCGTGCGGCAATTTCGGCAAATTTTATGGTTTTGGCACAGCTCAGCGCACAAATGAGGAATTTTATCAAATTGACGCTATCCGCGCAGCTGTTGCACCCCTGCTTTTGAGCATCACGTAGCAAATTTCAAAATGTCTTTTTCGTATTTTCATGACATTGCTCAATGAAATTTTTCAACCATCGTATGCTAGAAGTTATGTGGGACCCCCCCTCCCCCCCCCCCCCGTAGATGCCTTCATTATTTCATACGTCACTGTGTTTGGCACGGCAATCTCAGTGGAATGTCCACCCAAATTTTCTTCTTCCATGTTTTCGCCGTTGCCGAGCATCATGTCGCCGCAAGAGAAGTGTTTGTCGGATAGTGAAATTAGAAGTACAAATATGCTAAAATTGTTTTGCTCTTTAGTGTCTCTTTAGAGAATGGAAGCGTACTTCACTTTACGACAAAACTGCCGTAGGAATTAAACCTTCAGTTTTTATACCTAAGGCTAACGCTTTACTCAAACTGGGGTGAGACGGCTGAAACTAAATTGGGAGCAGTTTCTGGAGCAGCGAAATTTCAATTTTGTAGTAGTTAGCAGCCTTTACTAAGTTGTCCTGGGAGCTTAAAGATACCCATGTTTAGCAACGTGGGGGCACCAGTGCATACTTTAATTGGCTTATAATACACATTACACTGAAACAGATTCTGAAGGAAGTTTTTGAACAGATGATCGCTAGGTATGAACTGCACTGCTTTTTTACATACCACACACGTGACCTATCTAGCCATCGTAACACGTAAAATATTATCTAAAAAAGGTTTTGTTGAAAGCTAGGTCCCACGGAAAAATTAAAAAAGAACACATCACACTCAAAGAGAAATTAAATAATTGTGAATGCACAAGAATCTTGGTGATGTAAGAGTGGTCGTTCCCTTAAAAAAACGCCTGACATGATAGCGTTAAGAGCTTCCAACAAACAAAAGCATCCTGCACTGCCGTTCGCGGTCACCTCACGCAGAACCAACTCCAAGAGTACAGCGCGAGATCAAAGAAATCTCGCCGCATAGAATATCTCGTAAAGCATGTGCATATGGCACTAAGTGATAAGCGAGTGATACTGATAACGCCTCTCCACATGAGCAACCACGCGCTATTATTATAGCACAAGTTGGCCAGCGTTGAAATTTTTTCAATATCTATAGGTCATCACCGTCGACGAAGAACTCCCAATAACACATCGACTCGCAATTGCTGCCTGCGCCACTTCGTGACTCGCGTAAAGTGCTCGCGCACCACAGGTGAAAAAATCTCTGTGTGCGCAAACAAAACGCTGATTGTAGAGAGGCAGGTTTGATTGCATAAAAAAGAAGAAAAGAAAGAAAACAAAGTCACACTGCCGCCGACTGAAACACTGATTGAGATAAGCCAAAATCTCGTGTAGCCTAGGGCCGGCACGCATGCAGCGACACCTATTTAAGCACTTGTTGCGAGTTTTGATTACAAAACGAAGCAGTGGCAAATCGCCATAATTGAAAACTGTGTCAAAAGATTGCTGATGTGTAAGGAGTCACGAATAAAGCACCAAGGTGCCCGTTAATATTGTTTACAATGGTTTGAGCACTCGCTTTGTCACCGTGGCTTCACATGTAACCAAGTGTTTCTCTCTACCTGCAAACATTGATGTGCGGGTTTCACTTGCGATGGCTTTTTTAAATATAAAATGCATGAGAAATCTCGCCTGTACAAATAAATTAGCAGCTAATGGGTGTAAACCGGGAATAGGTTGCACACATTCTGCCGCTCACGGAACCCATTTTGAAAACCCATGTGCACGTGCCAGAGCATCCGGGAGACGCGTCGTGTGCAGGGAAAAAATTACTCCACGTTTACAGTTACTCGCTCACAGCAAACACGTACTCGTAGGTGACCACAAGCAGCAGTGTCAACATGAAAGCCACAGTGCCTGGAGGAATGCGCTATGCACGACAGAGGACCGGAGAGTCAACCCCACTATGCTTGCCACCAAACTCGGTGGTTTTCGCTAGCCGACACTGGCGCTAGAACACATAGCCTAGCTAGTAGAAGCAGCTAGCTCGATGCACGGCAGCACATTTTTGTCAGTCACGCATATTTGCTAAAGTTTAAAGATTATGGCGGCACCATGGTAGCTTTTGTCACCAGAAATGTGGAAAGTGAAAAAAAAAAACACTATTAGTTGCATCTTATTAGTCAAACTCGCCATTTTTTCCCCACTGAAGCTGTGGTCGGCATCGAAATTCTAGTTTTCGAGGCTGTTTCGGAGCAGTTCGGTGCAGTTTTCTCGAATACTATGCTTTTAAAGCAACTTGGCGCAAAAAAAAAACAGAAATGTATCAAAAATGCGCAATGTGAGCAGCTGTCTCACTCCTTACCAATGCATGTGTGTTGGCAGTACAGGCCCAGGTCGCAACAGCCTCTTTTGCCTTACAAATTAGCTTATTCCGAAGTGATCAAAGATAGATTGGCTGCATCTCTGGTACAAGAGGCTGTGTGCAAGTCGTGTGTTCACATGGTATTGAGCAGTGTTTACGCTCAGATCAAGAGGTTTCCTCCAGATTATGCGGTCACGAGATCCTGCGAAAAGGTGGTGAGATGGATAAAACATTTCAGCAAATGCGAAGTCTGTGAGAAAAACTATGAAAGCCACTTTAGCCTGCTGCCCTACGTTCAAGTTCTTTATTGATACAACCTCTTATTAGTACACGAAAATACACAACACTTGTTAGACTTGTTCACAAGATGGCGCACAATTAAGAGTGTCGCATCCAGATATGATGTGGCAGTGGTATGTACTGCTCTTAAGAAGCTGGGCAGCACTTGCACACTTGTTACGCTCGGGGCCAAAGGCAAAACCAAAAATAAAGGTTAATGTGGTCAGAAACACCGAAGCTCCTCCATTCCTTGTGTTACAGGAGTAGTGTACGAGATTCCTCAGTCATGCGCCAACAGTTATACTGGTCAGACTGGTAGGTACATGTTAGATTACGGGGGCACCAGAAGAAATGCGGAAAGAATGTCCGAATATCAAACTTGTTTGCTTATTGAACACAACGTACACTAAAAAGTAAAAGCACAGCGTACACTAAAACACAACGAACACTAAAAGCTACTGTTTAACAAGATCAGGGGTGCGACAGCCGAAATACAACTTGGAGCAATTTTAGGAGCAGCAAAATATTACTTTTAAAGCACTAAAATGTAATTTTTGAGCAGGTTACAGGGAAAAAGATGTGCAATTCTCATCACCAGATACCACATTTTGAGCAGTATAAAAAAGAAAGCTTACATTTAAAAACAGAATATGTATAAACCATTCAACATCACCTCAATTGTGCAGTGTAAACCTGAGCACTGCTATTTCAACGAAAGTGGTATTTTGAACCACCGCACTGAGCTAACAATGATAAAGTCCATATTAGCATTTGCTGTGCCTGTAAAATTATTTGACAGACTCTGCGAATTTAAATATGGATCTGCCAAGCTCGCGACCATGAAATTCGTGAGATTCCTGAAACTGAAGAGCAGAGGTGGTGAAAAAAAAACTGGTGCACAATTTAGGTTTTTTAAGGAAGCAGAAATGTCATACACTGCTCCAAAATATTTCCAGTAGCATATTTAGACATCAGTGATTACACTGATACTCATCATCAGGCAGCGTACAAAGGCATGAGTAAGTGAACATTATGTGCAGTGTCTTGTGACTAAGAATAACAGCCCCTTCCAAATCTCAATACACTTTTCCATAAAGCGCCGGTGTAAAATGGCAAAAGTGGCCTATTCAGGATTCCCTGCACGGGTTAGAATTCCAAGCCAAGAAATTTTCGAATCACTACCCCTCTCCTTCCCCCAACTTCCCAACTTGTTTTTTTTCCCACCGTGGGGTTAGGTATCGCTTCGCTCTCCCTCGAAGCCGTATTCGACCAGGTAAAGTAACAACGGCGTGCACCCGTTGACCTAGCGACAGTACCGCAGATGTCCATCGCCAGGACCGTGGCCAGGACGACGCAACTTCAAGACAAAAAAAAGGGGTGGGGGCTCAGAGCTTTCAATGAAATAGGCAGTGTCCAGTTTTTTTAAGCTTTATTCACGAACTGTGCGATATTTCACGGCAGTTCTTAGAAGATGAATCAGTTTTCGAAGCTTACCAAGTTTTCACCTGTAGATCAAAACAGCATTTAGGGGAAGTGACAGTGGCTATGAGCCCATCCTACAAACGTAATCTATAAGCAAAAACAATGTGAGCTGAGGCCACAGATGGCAGAGACCTTGCCAAAACTTTTTTTTTTTCGAAGAGGCACCCCCTTGATTAAAATGGCTCCTAGCTAGGCGAGTAGATGTGGTAGACTGTTATTTTCTGCTCCCCTATATACCTTGGGAAAATATTGGGAGGGCACAGGCACGGGCTTGGTGTGCCACTCCCCGGCTACGCTACTGGTGGATGGAAACCAGTGTGGTCGAGTACACACATAGAGAAGGAGAGCCGGGGAGGATGGTGAGAGTGGCACTGGCTCCTGTTAGGTTACCTTGGCGAGAAAAGTAGCTCTAACTGGAGCGGCACATGTAGGTTGTAAAAGAGAAGGTTGCGTCCAACGTGCGGGCCGAACACACAGAAGCAACTGGCAACAAAATAGACTGGAATAAGGTGAATTACCAAAATAAAGGGAAAAGAATGGGCTCCAGAGCTATATCGAGACTCTCTGACAATTCGGACTACAACGGGGCACATTCTTGAAAGTAATGACAATGACAGCAGCTTCCCCCAGATATACACACCTACATCATATTTTGAAATATATATAATTGGACTGTTCGCAGATTCAATATTAGTTGTGACAGGGCTCCCGGGCGGAAACTGAAATGTTCCGCTTTTATGCGAGCATTCATGGTCGGTGCTCATAATAACCCCATAGTTGAATAACAACCACAACACAAAAAGAGAGAGGAGACAGTGGCACTGTAAGCCACCGTGAGAGTATCCTCACGTATGTAGCACACTGTGGCATGCCGCCTGTAACTTTTACTGTCTTTTCGGATTGTGTAGTCTGCAGAAGTCCACACATGAAGCCAGAGCAAAACAACGCTGTTCGAAAGTGAAGACACTGCAAAGTCACGGTAGAATCACACATGCAACCGCCAGCTTTTCTTTGCCAGTGCGAGGCAAGAACGTGATCCAACCCTGCACATCACTGCGATTGCAGCACTCGCGCCTCCGGTGGTGGGCCTCACGCCCAAAATGTTAGGGAAACTGCATGACCAACCCTTGGTACACTGAACGGTGCAGCAAGCAATAAAGGAAGACAAGTGGTCGGTGCAGGGTGAATCAATGGTCGAAAAGACAGTGACAAGAGACTTTTCGAAAACAGTCAACCATAAATTCTTGGCTCTCTAACGCATTTGTAAGTAGTGTAAATAAACAACTTGTATATAATAAAAACTAAATGTCAGTGAATTGCTGAATCAAACCCTTTTATAACATACTCTTTCCTGTCATGCAAGTTTTGGTTCATCTCATACATTGGTTGGCAAAAATTAGAGCTCACTCAAACTCACTTATACATACATCGCGCCTGGGGCTCATTCTAACCCACCGAAATTTTCTTAAACCAGACTCGCTCGGCTTCAAGCTCGCTTAAATATTACTCACCCTTACTCACACAAGCACATGTCTTATTTGAGTATGAGCGAGTCTCGACTAAGTCAACTCATGAGAGAGCTGCTGACCTAAGGTGTCAAGTTAAAGAGACGATCACAGAGCGCCCAAACTTAATAGTCTAGAATAAATCGATCGATCAGATAGAAACTACACAGACTGACTGACGGACAGATATGGTTAAGGTGCTTTTAGTTCCCTAAAAAATGCTCTACTTTAAAGAGCAAGTGACTACCAGGAGCTCAGCCCTTAAGGAAAGCGTCACTTTGAGACTTCAGCTCTTCTGGTTTCTATGAATAGAAAGCACTTACGAGACATTTTGAAACTTGCCACTCTGTACTAGCACTGGTGTCCAAGCGATAGCCAACACACTGCGCTAAACAAGCCTTGGAATGCAAACCACAGCTCAACAGCATGAGAAAAAATGAATTCCTTGTTATTATGGCAGGACAACACTTGTTAGGCTAAAAAACGAAATATTTGGAAAACTGATGTGTTTTTGAAACACCCGACAACGTTGTACAGACCTTGTGTCGAATCTTCTGCCATCTAGCAGACACCGAGGGCATCTTTAATGTCGAAGGCTCGGCGCGCTCCACCTGTGCAGCCACGGAATGTCCATAATAACGTGTGGTGGCAGATAGGGGTGGCAATGCCAACAAATTTTCGTGTGCCATGTTGCTCAGACGGAGGAAACTGGGATGCTAAAAAAATACTCGTAGGAGATTAACCTCAATGTTTTTTTTCTTCGTGGCTGACGTAAAGGGCCAGATCTGTTGCTCATTTTGCTGCTTACAGTTAAATGCCTGTTTATGTTCTCCGTTCTACCCAGATGTGGGACAGCATAGGCACTCATCACAGCACGCTCTTTCATGCCATGCCAGAATGAAACGGTTTTGGCACCATGTGAATGCAGGCACAGACAAATCGGCCTTGTGCACGATCTGCAAAGTTGCACCATGGCTACTCATGCTTGCCTCTGCTGCTGTTTACCGCATTACTTTGTCGATTACATTGCGATAACAAAAACATATAAGCTACGTAGCTCCAGCATGTCATCGATTCTCATCTAGTGGAATGGTTGTGCTTGAACATGTTGCTTATAGTTACTTGTTTATTGTGGAGTTTAATAGAGTACCATTTGGTGGTGTGGTATGCACACGATTGCTTCACTATGTGTACTTTTTCAAGCATTCCATGTGCTTTTTTAGAGGAGGTGGCCAATTTCATAAGGTAAAACCGAATGCTGTGACCCTCCGCCTGTTAATATTATTTCTTTATACCCCAAGAAGAGTAAATATGTTATTCCAAATGGTGATCCTCCTTTGTAAAAAATCTTGTATCCACCTTTGTGTGCCGCAAAATGTTAATAGATGTCTCAAGTGTGTCAACACTGTTCAAAACTGAAAAAATGCTGTACTGACAAATCTGTTACCCTTAACTGTGGGTGCGCTCCCACTGTTTAGGCACAAAGGTGGTTTCGCAAATGTTCAGTAGGCGATACACAACTGCCCTGCTGCACACGGCATGAAACTGTAAGGTGAATATAAGCCCCGAAAGTGATGACGTAAACCCAAATATTTTACACCTACTGCGCTGTTTACGAGCACATGCCCCCCAAAAGGGTATTCAATGAAATACCAGCTAATCAGCACCTACTTAATGGATACGCCTTGCATTTTTCTTTTTCACGCACAGAAGACCTAAGGTTTAAACAATTTTACTTGTGTGTTAATGCTATATATAGCGTACGTTGGAGACTACAGCAGCAAAGCATTATTTATTTGAAATATAAAGAAAGAGTAAAAAATTTCATTTCAGGGTAGGTGTGCGATAAATTGGAGGGGCTATTCTGTAAGTATTCTATCTAGAACAGGGCAGACATGAAAGAAAAGAATGAAATGGAGCCACACTAGATTTGTCAAGGCTATTCTCGTGGTCTAGACATGAAAATAGCCATGGAAGGTGCATAGAACGGGTGGAGGCCCCATTGCCTCAATAAAATGGTGCCAAAATGGCATCTGAACAACATGGATTTGATTAAAATGAAGCACTTGAGCCCAAAGAATCTAATTAGCCTGTTTTGCACCTCACTTACCATCATCCTGCTGTGAAAATCACAACAAAATGACTCCTCCGAATCGCAACACCACCTAGCATCTACTCAAGACACAAATAAATTGCTGAAGTCATCCCAGTCTGCAATCTCAAGCTTTGAAAAACAACAAGTGCCAATATTCATGATGTGTTGTATTCATTTTATATTTTTACATGTGTTGAAAGCATTTCCGAATCCTCTTAGCTTGCCTACACGCTTTTTGATCCCTCTTGTTCTTTCATTCTATCTCTTCTCATTCTAAATAAAACACTTAGAAATGGACCCCCCCCCTCCACGTCGACATAGGCCATTTATAGTAAATTACGCTTTGCAAAGGTGTAACCGAACTTCCTATAGCCCCCAGCTGTGTCTCACTACAGCCTCTTCTCAGCCACTCTGCATTGTTCCTCATGAATAGCAAATAACTAAAGCGTTCCTTATTTTAAAGTCCGGCTACTGCTCCGGTTCATTTAAATGGCCCCTAAACAACCTCTTATAATATTTTTCAAATGTTTGAAGTAAACACGTGCATCATATTCAAAATTCTGCATGATCTGTGTCTCCACGTGGCAGCGCAACAAGCCGCCAGTGCTCCACAAATTCGAAGAAACAATCCTCCCATGCCTTTGAGGCTGCCACGTGACATCAAGAAGTTGAATCTGACGTGCAGAATAAATATGCTGCAATTGGTCAAGCAAGCATCTATGACTTCCTGTAAGCCTGCAAGAAGCTGTCCACACACTCGTCGTTTGTCGTGATGCCCGCATGCATGCACGTGCTTGCAAATCAGGTACTGTGGTCCGTAGGACAGGGTTCATACCGACACTATTCGTATAAGCACCGGCTGGCACGTCAACAGCGATTCACCAACAAGCACAAAGTTGACAAAGGGCGGAGTGGCGGCAACCGTAACAAGACAGTGTTTGGAGCAATATGTCATCGATGATGCATGTCGCGCAAGATTGGGAGAGGTGCTTGGCAAGAAAGCAAAGCGGCTTCGGGAGATGTACGAATGGAGGGTAGTGAAAAGAAGAATGAAAGGAGTGATTACTGTGCTTAGATAATCAAACGCATTTAACACCGCTATAACAGCACCGTTTAAAAAATTAACAGATTTATGGTTGTTGTGCACTTGCGCACAACTTCCTCACCACAACTGAATTTTCACCTCTGGGTGGGTAAATATTGCATCTAGTTTCTGGCTGCATGCAGTATAGCAACATAATGCGTGCCAGCACCAGCACTGTTCAGGTATTAAAATAATCCTTGGTGCATGGC